GTGCAGATTGACAGAGAGAGAGAGAGAGGTAAGACAAAAGAGTGATATGAGTGGGCTTTTGTTCCCTGATATTATTGTTATTTATAAAATAATAATACTAATTATTATTTTCCGTTTATTTTCATTCACCCCCGTTCATAGGCACACGCTGACCGCAGATGAACCGGGCTTGAGAACTGGCGGGGAAGAGCGAGAGTCAGCAGCACGCGCTCCGTTCAGAGAGAGCAAAGAGTGAGAGTCCGTGCAAAAGTGTGTGACCGCAGGGATGGGACAACATGTTGCGAGAGATTGTGCGCTCAGCGAGAGAGAAGGACTGCGATGACAGAGAGAGAGTAAGAGAGGAAGTAATTGAGAAGGCTGATCTGCCGTCTTTTGGACAAACATCATGCATCTGGCCCTGGTAAGAGTCTGAGTGCATTCGGACTTAGCTTCCAATTGGGCTCGGAAGCTCCCTCCCAGATTATCCATCCTGTTTGCTGATTGTTATTTCTTCGCTGCTTCGGTCGAGTACAGTGTGGGAAAGGCTAGCATCCAATCAATGCTAGAACGAACTCAGGAATACTTTCTGGTCATTTGGGAAGCGAAAAAAAACGTTAACCGAGATCAGTCTTCAAAAGGAAGTGTAACAGGCGATCAAAACGTATCACAGCACCCTGCCGCTCGCTGAGGACCTCGGATGCGGGCGCAGCGAGTGACAGGCGCTGTGGCCCCTGGCTTTAGCGAACGGTAGGCGACCCCTCCCCGGGTTTCCTCACAACGGTTGTCGGACGATGGATGGCTGAACGACAATATTATTGACATTTATTTGCAGTCTGTGTATGAAGAGGTTGGACGGGGCCAGAACAGGTCTTATGTTCACGTCTGCACAACTTACTGGCACCCCGAGGTCGTCGCCAATAAAAAATTTGGGAAATTGACGAAAAAAGGATGGGAGGACGCAATTAAGAAGAGACCACATAAATTGCATCGATTGTGCAATGAACTGCGACGCGCGCTGGTCATTGTGATACCAGTGAACCGTAACAAACACAGGATTCTTCTTCTGTTGCTGAATGCGAGGTCCTTCTTGGAGGTCAATGTGGACAGCCGCATATCCGACCCTCCCATTGCTATCGTCGTTGACTCAATGAGAGAAAAAAATCGAGACGAATGGACGACGTTGCGAACACTTTTGTGGCACGAGTACCTTCACGAGGCATCGAATTTGCAGGCTTTGACACCCGAAAAGGTTCATTTTTCGTGGGTGACATGCAGGGATCTGGCAGGAAGTAAACTTGTGCATGCGGAATGCCCGCAACAGAACAATCACACGGACTGTGGTGTTTATGTGTGTTGTATCGCTACCACCGTAATACAATTTCTTGGAAGAACCGCGACAAAGGATCTGACGGCCAAGGACGTACTGGAAGTTATCAAAACTACAACGGTGAACGAAAGAACTGTTCGACAATTTCGCGAGTCGGTGGTGGACCGGCTTGCTGCCTGTGCTGTAGTCACAAAAGGCGACGGCACTTTAGCGGCTTCACAAGTAGCCACAGCGTTGCAAAGCATAATAAACAGAAGAGAGAGCAACACTTCTATGGAATGAGATGTTGTCCAGGTCAGCGAACGCGATGCGAGGAAAGTTGACTACTGCGGGCCAAAATGACATGAAATGTGGGATGTGCGGACATGATTGGCCTGCAGTAGCCAACCTTATCGCAATGATGGACGAGGCAACTATTCCGATGGTTTTTTGTTCTCAGATTATGCGATCTCCTGCCACCTGACAATACAAATGCAGTCACTCTGACGCACAAAGAAGTTGCTCACTTGCACGACTTCGCAATTTCAAATCTCTCTCTCTCTCTCTCTCTCTCTCTCTCTCTCTTCTCTCTCTCTCTCTCTCTCTCTCTCTCTCTCTNCTCTCTCTCTCTCTCTCTCTCTCTCTCTCTCTCTCTCTCTCTCTCTCTCTCTCTCTCTCTCTCTTCTTTTCTCTCTTTCTCTCCGTAACAAACAACATCACTGACGCACTTGTGGTTCTTATTCCACTTTGATGCATGTGGGAAAAAAGGGGTGATGGCTCCAAGGCCAAAATACGAGGATCTGTTCAGGTCTTTGAAAGCCGCTAGAAAGAAGCCGGAAGAAATCGAGGGCCGAAAAGAAGCAGTCGAAAGAGCATCGCAGAAGCGGCGCCGACCCCTCTGCGAAAACGGAGCACAAGCGCAGCCGCAAATCCGGATCGAAAGTTACAGTCCCTTCGAATGCACGGGAGATTTCAACGCTGAAAGAACGTAACGAGTCGCCCCCCTCGACCCCCGTCCGGGGAAAGCGCGGAAGCGGCGCCGAGAACCGTCCGCCAAGGGCCCCGGAAAAAAGATCGCGGGATGATAGAAGCGCGACTACGCACCGCAGAACAAAGAAGAGAATATCCTACAAAGACGAAAGAACAGTGGAGACAATCGATATTAGAGAGTCATACGACAGACACAACGGACCCCAAGTGGAAGAGGAGGAGGAACACGACCGTTCCGCGCCAGAGAAGTCAGATGGTGCGGAGGACGAGGAGCCAGGAAACAAGGGAGACGACAATGATTCTTCCCGCAGACAATTGCAAGACACCGATGAGGACGACGACAGCGACGGCAAGTCGGCCAGCGAGAGAACCGGCGAAGACCAGAGCGCCGCTTCGGAAAGAGGTGGTTCGCCATTTCCTTTGAGGACGCTGCGCAGAGAAGGAGAACGGCAGGCACGCAATGGCAGCGACACCGAGGAGCGTGTCAGTGATAGACAAATCGTACAGCACATCAGCGCCGCCGGAAAAGGTAAAAAACCCCGCATCGCACTGACTCCCCTCCCACTCCGATCACATAATCCCGTGCCCCCACGCGGTGCACGCCTTTACGCACAGAGAAGTGTCTTTGTAAACGCACAACTGATAGCGAATCTTCAATTTTGCAAGTGTTGTATTCAAAACAAGGCGCTGAGTTGTTAACACTCTTCTGTGCGTTGTGTCTTCTGTTTCCCACCGATCGCAACGTCACGAACGAAAGTGCGCGCAAGCGGCGGAGCCGTGCAAGGACCGAAGGACGAGGGCGCCGTATTCGCGAAGAAAATGAAGGGCAAGCTGTTGCGTTTCGTCGCCAAAACCTTTGCGTTCTCTGCGGCAAACGACGCAACTCTGTACCCGACAGAGGACGCGTTTTTCGCGGCGGTGTAAGCGACGGCGAAACTGGCAGGGAAAACAGCAGAGGAAGGGCTGGGGTCTCACATAGCAGAGTGCGGGGTTCGAGCTGTCATAGGGGAATGCAACAGAATAATGACGACGATCCGCGGAGAGATTACATCGAAGCTGAAACATTGGTTTTGGGTTGAAAAAGGGATTTCGCTCGTCGGATCGCAGCAAACGGACCACCACCTCCCCGCTCGCAACAAGATGCGCACCGAGATGAAGGAGAACAAGACGTGGAGACGGAGCGGCGATGATCCGTGGGGTGCCCCCGCCTTCAAGACGACACTCTTAAAAAAAATTCAGATGAGGAAGGAAGGCCGGAACCTGAGCGTCACCCTGCAGCAACTGGTTTTTGCGGAGATGGTCATTCAATGTGAGATAGAACAGATAACGAAGACGACACGAGCTGCGGAGCAGATAGAAAAATTGGTATCTATAAAGCAGGCAATCGTCTCATTTCTCCGTAGCCGAGACACGGTAACGAGTTTTTCCGTCTTCAAACTAGACCGTTCCGTATCCGTGGCTGAGAAGGCATCAGCGCTCTTTCGCTCTGGCACGCCTTCTATCCACAGGCCTAGGCCTCCAAGCACCACAATAACGGATGACGATTACGACATCGAGTTCATTCTCCCTCAGAGTACAGCAGCCGGAGACGGAGATAGGCGCACCGACAGTCTGTGCGCCGCACCCTGAACAACGAGGGACAGTTTGGCGACATTTCGACATGGAAGGGAGGATGCGGGGCAATGACCAAACGGTGGAACGAAATATTCTTTTTTTAGACGTTTCGAACCAGGAGATGCAAAATCGAAGGCCACAGTCGGTGCAGGATAGAGAGAGAGAGAGAGAGAGAGAGAGAGAGAGAGA